TTTTAAGGCTAATTAAGGTCTTATTTTTTGGATTGATGAATTCAATGACTTTTAAGACTTTTTAAGGATCTGCAGGAACCCTGGTCTGTAGCCTTTTTGGTCAGTTTTACAGATTTTGAGCAAAACTTTCGTGTCCTAGTAGTTGTGAGTCATCCTCAACCCATTCCCAGAGRCTGTGGTACTAACTAGTTTAAGAAYGACCTGACAACAATAAAACAAGCGTGTATCAAAATAGCCCAACATGAGAGAGTACATACCTGATCAACACTAGGAAAGTACTGAATGAGGAAGCCGAGAAGAATCCCAGCAACCATCCCTCCTGCGACCTCCAGCACACCTCGCAAGAGGTTATACCAGGTGGAGCCTAGGAGGAAAAGTATGGCCAATAAATCCAGCAGTAAATACAATTAGTGGCAAACTGATTTGATTGTTTAATTAGGTTAAGAAGGTAAAGAAAACACCTTCACAAAACTAGTCATGCACATGCTCAACTTTAAAACCTTAATAAAAAGGTAGGATTTTCAATGCAAACATTGTAAGTGAGTCTTTTCAAAGAGATTTGTTGTTTTATCTACATTTAGTAAAAACAAGCACAACTCTGTGGCACAGTGAAGTAATAAAGGTTTTTGGCAGTTCCTAAACCAACAAATTGGTCTTTTTAATGAAAGTAATTTATACACCTRCGCCCTCTGCTGATCTCCTGACAAACTGCAAATAGTATTTACTTGAAGAAATAACGAAAATCTAATCTCAGCATTGACACACTTGCTGCTTCTCCCCTGGAGAAAAGTTGGGGTTGTGTTTCAAAAAGCACAAGCTTGCATTATTCTACTCTGATCACACACACGTTACCTGTGGCGAAGGCCATGCCCAAGCATGTGGTGAACCCTGTGATGGCGAGAATATCGTCAAAGCTTCCAGCAGCCATCAGCAGGGTGGGAATGCCCTGCTCCACACCATATCCATCTTTCTGCAGCACCAGCATGGAGGGAACCACCACTGCCGGAGACACAGCACCCAGCACAAAGCTGTGATGGGGACGGGGCGAATTGTTTTAGTTTCTTAAATAAACGTATTGAATTGTTAAAAACGTGTAACGTATAAAATAAAAAGAAACGCTGAAGTGATTACTCGCCCAAGGATGAAGCCCCACACCAAGGGTAAACCCAGGAGGAAGTAAGAGATGAGAGCTGCGGTGCAGGCTTCTATCAAACAGGGCCCAGCTGCAACACGAATACACACAGTTTTGAGTTTCCTCAGAGCCTGACGGACAAAAAGAAAAAAAACATCCACAATTTAATGATTAATGGCTTTGAACTGGAGTTATGTTTTTTGAAATAATGCAGAGTGTTATCAAGCACAGAAACAACATTGAATGATGGGCCTCATGCAGGAACATTTCTGTATTCTTATCCTAAATTTCTCTTACTTTTGTTCGTACGAAGGGTTTGAACAAACATGCCACATCAGATTAAGCAAACTCTATCTTCAGGAAAAGTGTGTAAATGAGCTGCGTAAACTGGTCAATGTGTATCCAGGTGCTCGCACACGAGAAGAGGAGATTAGCATAATTACCACCCCAATAATACCATATAAGGCTACACTTCCTGTCCCACATACCAGGAAGTGTTCATTCATAAATGACATTGCAAAGTAGAAAAGAAGAACTTTACGAGTTCGGAGATTGAAGTCCTGCTTTCAAGATCCAGAAAAGAAAATCTGTCATTTTTAGCAGCGTCAGCTGTGGAATTAAAGGAGCTGCTAAAGCCAAGGAATGAAATGACAACTGCTGTTAATGTCGTATCTCCTGTGTGTCGTATGCAGGCACAGAAATAAAAATCTAAATCATATTCATTTCTCTCTAGTCTTGCTCTGGTTGTCCTTTGGTCAAATATTTTTTATTTAAGTGTAAACAACTGTGTTACATAGTTTTAATTTATTCAGAAGAAGAGCAGTCGCGCACCGCTTTTGTCCACGTCTGAACCACATGCGACTTTTGTGAAGAAAATCTTACAATATGAGAAAATTGGTGAATGCCACAAATTATCCTAAATCACTCGTACGCAGAACTTAAGAACAAATCTGTTCGTACTAACGGTTCTTGCACGAGGCCCATTGAAACAGATCCAAAATGACTTATACGTAACTTTAATAAATTTACCCACAGCCCGACCTTAGAAAACACAAAAATTACTTTTATTTACTCAATTCTACAGATACTGTACTAAACTTTGGTGAGGTTGTAGCTGAGCGTCTTCCACAACACATACTCCAAGTGTTCCTCATTGCACTAGAATTTTGCTAAAAAAACATTTATCATCAAGCTAGAGTCAATCCTGTGCCCTGAACTGAATCCTCACTAAAGGAGGTCATTGTACCTTGGGGTCCAGTCCCAGACCAGCTCTGACCAGGATGATGGCCAATGCAATGTTCCTCAGAGAAGCAGACCATCTGAAGTTGATGTAAACCGCATCAGTTACAACTGGGATGTTCCTCAGCAGGAACCCCATCAGCAGCATACCTGCAGCCCAGCAGAGGGTGGGAGAGAGGAAAGGTGAGCCTTCTTTTACCCTGAAGATATGTTTATTCTTTGACAAGGTTACTCACACACTAACAGAGCAAGAATAAAAGTCATCTGTTTTGTTACAAACACACAAAGAGATGGGGATCCAGTGCTTAAAAAAAGAAAACTATAAGCATGTTCTTAAAACTAAGAATGACACATTTTATTTCTTTTTTCATCCTAATTCTTCAAGTTTTAGTGAACAGAAATCATTTAGAGAAAAAGATCTGAATTGAACAAGTGCACTGTTCTAAAGAGCTTAATTAAGRGGATAGAATGTAAACACAAGAAAACGGTGACAACGAAACCTGTCAGAAAATCATGATATCAAACATGATGCTTGGATCGCCACATTTTAAATGCTGAGCTTTGAAAACAAAAATATTTAAGTTTAAATAAAACTCCTGATAAAAGCCTAATCATTTTTTTCTTTTTGGATTTAAACATATTTTTATACATTAATGGCAAATATACAAAAGACATTTTATTTTAACAGCTTTTGTGTCATGTCTTGTTGTCAAAAAATTATTAATAACCCTGAATCAAACAGACATCATTTTTTGTTTTCTACTTCTATAAGTAATTGTTTAATAGGAAAGATGTTGACGAGTTTTGCAGTAGAATATGAAGCACAGAGATCAATTATTCTGTAAATATAATGCCATTTACTCTGACTTACCAAGGAGTGGTGGGAATGGTGGAAGTTTGGGCAGTTTGATGAGAGCGACCAGTTTGCCTCCAATGACAGCACAGATGAAGAGTATCGTGATTCCAAATAAGTTTCCTCCTGGGAGACATTCTTTCTCTGTGATGGACCAGACAACCCCAAAGAGTACAGCTGCCAAAAGGACTAAAGAGGAAAACAATAATCAGCTATATCTCCTGTAATTGTTGGCATGATTTTATTATGTGTTACAAATAAGAGACACAGAAAGTCAAAAATGGCATCTATAAGATGAGAAGTTCTAAGTTTAGATCTGGTAAATCTTCCTAAAAATATATATCCAAAGCAAAAAAAATATGTTTTTCCATGCTTACTTTTGGTAATAAAAGAGGCAAACAGGCCTCTTGGTGGACATGGGCAAAACCTGTGAAGCAGAGGGCAGCAGACTACAGGTGGGTCTGTGTTGGTGCCAGCATCCACCCCAGGATTGCGAGGAATAAAATAGGTGGTCTCCTCTGTTACGTTTGGAGTCGAGCAGCGTCGGACCACCACCTGGATCTGGTTCACATTTAGGTGCTTTAGAGGACGAAGAGGGACATAGAGAAATGTGTTAATAAGATGCCAGGTGTCCAAAATATTTATCAAACTTAACTATTTWAAAAAATGCTGATAAAGTGTGAGATCTCCATTAGCTCATATCTATTTTCTGTATGTCAAACATGAAGGCATCAGTKTTTGAGGGATCAGAAAACTAGATGTTCCTCTAAGAACATTATCATTTATCACACATGAAATACTCAGCTGAGTATGTTGGTTCAAAGTTCTTGAATTCAGCTTGAGCTGTTACCTCCACATGGTTCCCTGCAGGCAGAGCAAGTATGTCCAGCAGTGGGCTGGGAACTGGACTGGGTGGTGCTGGACTGGGCGGTGCTGGACTGGGTGCAGGACTGGGCTCTGGTTTGGAAGGTTTCTGCAAGGTGTCCTCCATCATGGTCAGACACTGCATTTCTGTACTTTGCTTTCACAGTATGGAGTTGGGCTTGTCCATCAGTCAAAAGATCATGCACATCTGAATATCCAGCTGCCTCCTCAGGCTCCTTTTCATTCAGAATTTTAAGCAACAGAAACAAAATAATAAAAACGCTTGTTGGGTTATTACCAAAGAACAATGTCATAAGTACCAGAGCTGTGAAATGTTAATGATGTTACACAGACAGACTTGAAGTATGATTTAAAATGCACCCAATAATCATCTAAATTGGTCAGTTTTAAAAGATATTCAATGCTAAGTCATGAAGATCAGTCAAAAAATAAAATAAAAATAAAATAAAATAAAATAAAAGTTTGTCAACAACCTCCAACTACCACATGTAGCCAGTAGTATTACCACTCACATTTGTTGGGTACAATATGCAAATTGCTTAAGTTTTTCTGTGGATTCAGCTTTGTTTTCATTGAGTGTGTACCGCCAGTTTAGAATTGCACATCAGCATATCTAAAAAAAACTATTAGAAGTAAACTCTTTCAAACTTTTGATAAAGTTCAGGATAACGTGTTTTATGTTTGATTTCATAGTTTGTATTGAGTACCTTTAAACTTAGTGACAGAAAAGGGCCTCAGTTTAATTACCCTGAGGAAACTACTTGTGATTAGTTTGCAGTTAATTACTGTAGGAAAAAAATAGTCAGAGTTGTATGCAATTAATAGGCTAATAATAAAAATATATGAATCAAACTGATTGGATAATTTCTAATCACTATTATGTGCGGTTTGGTAGTTTTGAGTAATTTGCACACTTTTCCCACTTTCTGTAAATACAGCTGCACAGTTCAAATGCATAGCCAGTAAGCTTATTTAACTATTAATTATATATCATACACCACTTTTAATATTAGACATTTGATAATTTGCACATTTGACTAAATCTAAATATATTAAAACTTTACTAAATCCATAGGAAAACTGTCAAACTTCTCAGCATCTAATTGTAAGGTAGGTTACTAAAAGAAAACTGTTTGAGATTTACTTTCACGTCACMTTTGAAATGAACAGACTGCACTGATGCTACTACATTGTTGTGATCGCTGCTTACGGCAACAGCTGACAGCTAATCCACAAATAAACCGCTCTAATCAATGCTCACAGCTCCACCATATGGCGCACCTATAGTGTTAGCTCAAGTAGGTTAGTAAAGTGGGGACAACCAAGAACAACAGCTAACTAATTAAAAGCTGACTTKTCCTGTCCTGTTGCTTTGTAGTTTGTGTAAGGTAGGACACCTGTGGTTTGGTCAGACAGGAGCGACATTTTTGAGTTTCGCGACACTACAGAACTATGGATCCATTATCGGACGCAGCGTCACACACGGCAGCGTCTTTCTAAAGTAGCAGACTAAATTGTTTGTATAAATTCACCAGTTTACTAAAGTCACATTAATTTAAAGACATTACTGCAATGTCCTACACTCAATTCATTTTCAGCAGTGGACATGACGTCCATAAAACAAAAGCTATACCGGTGACATTAATGTAGAAAAATATATATATATAATACCAACCTTTAGCTTTATCAGTGCACTATCCAACTGAGTCCATTGAGCAAAGTGAAGCTAATTCAGTTTAATTTAMCATGTTTACAAATAGAAGCGGTTTATGTCCGATATTGGATGCCCCCGTTTTAGATAGCCCTACCTTCGAGCAGCTCCCGTTCAAAAACACAGTAGCTTAGTGCAGACGCAGAGTGAAGTCGCTGACGGGACCCTTTAAATACACATTAGAGAAGGAAAAACTGCTAATCTCTTACTGTAAACACAACCCTAGCTTACAGACTGTCGGTTACAGCGTCCCTGGTGGTCCARTTGCACAAACAGCAGCTGGGTGAAACAAACGAGGCGGATTAGTGACGGACAGGTGGGAACTCTAGTGGGAGTGGAGGTGGAGACTTATGTTTCCTATAGTTTTATTTAGCCTGTCTTGCAACAAGAATACCACACCTTACTTCATTTCATGTGCTTGTTTGAAGAATTTATTGCATTTTCACGTATGCCTTGTATTTTTAGTGGAATAAATCCGTCAAAAATGTGGAAGACCATTTGTGACAAATGTTTAACAGGGTAACAACATTTTTCTTCTGTCATCAAAAACTGTGCGCTTTAGAGTTTGGGTCATTCTCATTTAAATAGGCTGTGATGGGCATTTAGAAGGCTTGTTTGCTTGCYAAATAATTTACTACCATGTTGGGCATTTTTGCAAGTAATGCATTATCATTAATGCAGTAAGGTTATGTTTTAATTACTGAAGAGGCAAATGACCAAATTTATACTAATTTTCATTTTTATTTTTAAAATTTGAGTATGGTTTTAATTGTGTTGAGTTGAACTTGTTTGCTTTGTGTACAATAAGATTAGAATGTTTCAATTACATTTCCATCACTAAACACAGAAATACAAAAATAGAAAAAATTGTGAAGAATTGAATATTTATTTTGGCAATAGCAATAAATTAGAACACAAGATCTAATGACATTTGTTATCTTGCGACATGGTAAAGAACATCTAATGTGGAAATAATGCTCATTAACTACAAATCTGCTAACATAATGTGCAAAATCTAAAYTGCAGATTATCTAGACTTCATTTTGAATATGGTCTGTTCTTTTTGTTCTTGAGTATTATAAGGATAATGCCACAAATTCTTCACAGACTCCAGCCTCCGTCAATTATCTGCTCGGTTCCAGTCACATAGGCTGACTGTGGAAAGTAAAAACACAGACCAGTTATATTACGAACCTAAACTTTAATTAACTTAGAAAATATATACACTCAATAAGTCATAACACCTTTGTTATCACTCACCTCATCTGAGGCCAGGTACACACAGAGGTAAGCCACCTCCTCAGCTGTGCACATTCTGCCAGTTTTCTGTCTTGCCATAAAATCCTTGAAAGCCTGTGAACGAATTACAGCTGTAGCGTCCATTAACTTTAACAGCCAGTCATCAAGATAACATGTTTAATTGCACATGTAGGGGATTAGGACTGAGGGAATGTAAGCCGGGGTCTACTGTACTTGTTCTGGATCAGGTTGTGCCTGAATCCTTCCCCTCAGTGATGGCGTATCGACAGTCCCTGAGGAAATATAAAAACAGCAGGTCAGACATGTTTTAAMATATTGGAGAATCACAGGATCAACTTTTGACTAAATGGGTAAATTYGGTGAGGACCAGGCCAAGGTCAAGCCTGCTGCACATAGACATGCAAGATTGTGCCACCCTTAAAGGCACTTATCTAAATTATCTTTTAAACTGATAAGCCAGAGCTTTTGATGTGGGGTTCTGTTGAGTTCATGAACAATTGTAAATTGTTTTTTAAACAACCTCAACTTTGACTAGAATGATGAGCTGGTCAAAGCGGAGCAAAGTGGACTGCTGATGTCTTCAAATCAGCTGAATTTTATTGTAGTTCATAGAAACACTTCAGTTTTTTATGTTTTTTTAGTACAATTATTTACACAAAATCCTACATTTATTTACAAATGCAAATAGCAGCAGCAGCTAGTTGTGAGGCTGGCTATAGTTTTTCTTCTGTATCTTTAAAAGGTCCAAAATGTCTCCTAGCACAGAGCACCTGCTATTTTTCAAAAAAGAAGTTTCAGGCAAACTCAACTCAGTTACCAATACATTAAAATGATTAAAGATGCATGAGCAAATGTTGTTTGTCTCAATGTTTAGGACTTACCAGGACAAACACAATTGCAGCGAATGCCTTGCTCAATGAAATCTGCAGCTATAGATTTGGTGAGCCCAATCACAGCTGCCTTAGAGGTACTGTAGACACACCGGTTTACCACACCTGAGTTTAAGAAACACACACACAGATGTTAAAAATTATCCGGTTTGGAATGGCCAAACTTTAAATCTTTAATTATGAGTGTTATGGCAACATTCAGAGTTTCAAAAAGTGAAAGATTAATCACCTTTTATGCTTGAAGCCACAGATGCCATSTTAATTATGTTTCCTGACTTCTTTGCCAGCATCTAGAGACAAAATAAAACTGGTGACAAAAAAAAGCATAGAAAAAAATAAACAAATGTGCTGTGATTTGTGCTAAAAGTCCCCCAAGCAGGCAGTTTGCCAAGTTTGTGGCCAAAGCTGGATTAGTTGCTGGACAGTCGCAACCTATCATGTCATGGGCTCAGAGTAATACAGCTAATCCTTGGGGCCAAAGACTGAGAACAACATTAGAGGCATATGTCGCTCAGTTTTCAACAAGCGCACGTTTTGTTCTCTCTGTGCCGAGCTCACGATGAAGAAAGGAGGGGTCACCTTAGGCAGGAAAGCCTTGCACATGAGGTACATGCTGCGCACATTGACACTCATKGTGAAGTCCCAGTCAGCCTCTTCACAGTCCAAGATGGTGCCGTGGTGCACAAACCTGCATACAGCATGGAATCAGACACACTACATTTCAACACATTAATGACTTGGGCTGTGAGTTTGAATATTTGTTCCATCTGATAAGTAAAACATAAAATAGAACATATTAGAAATCTTAAACCAAAGAATTCCTTTATATGTGTTGCCGTTCATGTTAAAGTTTTAACCTGATTAGCTTATGATATGAAGGAATGGAGATTTAGGTGATTTGGTCAAACCTCRTAAATTAAATATTGTGAGATCTGGAGAGATGTGTTAGCCCTTGGAGTACCATATTTATTCGTGTATAATATGATCTCATATATAATAC